ATACTAGGATAGTTATGAGTCATGGATCAGATAGAATATTTGTGGCTCACGGGATGGAACGCTATAAATTGGCAGCTTCTTCTTCAGATACTCTCGGAGATCCTTGATAAGATGGCGGAACCTCTGAGGAGAACGCAAGTCTCCCCCGTCCACATCTGTAGCACCTCCATCACTCATCAAGCCTTCCAACTCTGGGCCAGGGAGTGGAACAAAGTAGCTGACGAGTACCTTCTCCTCATCTTTATTTCTCCGTGCCAGTGAGTGATTATTCATGGACACGAGTAGATTCTTATACGGATATTTACAGAGAAATTGTATGAGGAAGGGGCAGATATAGTGCTAATGATCCAGGCCGACATGTTGGCGTATCACTCTGCTGATGAACCGATGCAGCTTGGACTCCCTGAATGGTTTGTAAAGTCTTTTCATCTCAAATTATGGCTTAAAATATCGTATAGGATTGGAAGTCCAGTTGCTGCTTTGCTTCTTTCGAATATATCATCCATATATGTCCCCGATTTGACGGTCGGAACGACTTCAGCTTGCTGCAGTGATCACCAATCATTCTGGCAATACGGTGAGTAATCACCGTTGTTCCTTTGCTCCCAGCTAACCTGGATAGGTTTTACCGCTACGCAAGTCTTTGAACGAGCCGGCTGGATCATAGATCCTCATTATCACAGCTCTGGGGATTTTAGCAATCGTACCAATTACGATCTAGATCAAGTTCAGTCCATCGCGAAGGTCACAGTAAGCCAATTTCTTTCTCTGCGTGCCGAGCTAATCAATACCCTAGTTTGCCTCAGTACTACACACCGCAGGATTTACTTTTGATGCATAAATAGACATGTTTCTATTCAAGCAATTTTGACCATATCTGAAATCAAGAGACTCGAGTTTAACTTACTTGAGCTCATGCAATATTGAGGCTAGAGGAATACTATGCATTCATCTACAAGTAACACTTCCGAACAATGTGAATGATTTACTGTCCACTCCTGCCAACAGCTTTTGCGACTCCGGTCAAAGTTGGAAGCGTCAGAGTACCCGCCTTCTCCGGTTTCTCCAGAAAACCGGCGTTGATCAACCATGATAGATAAAGTCCGGTCGTCTTTTGATCTACTGTTTGTACAGGAGGGTTGGGCAAGGTTTGTGGATCGAATAGAGCATTGGTATTTGTGATATCTAGCTCTGGTGCCTTTGTGCTTCTCGGAAGGTCATCCAACACAAAGTGGAGCAAAGGATAAAGGGCATTGTCTTGAACCTCAAGTACGTGCTGCTCCAGCTTTCCTCGCCAGATGATGTAGTCGCATGGCGCTATATCGTATCCGTAGTCCACTAAAGTAGTAAAAATATCATTGAATGTGATAGGCGGTCGAGCAGCTATGTGTAGAACTGTGACGCCCGATTTTGGAGGAATGGTGCCGGAAACAGCGGTAACACCAGCAACATAGTCGACTGGTACCATGTTCACGGTATTGCTAATGTTTGGCACTAGCTTCAACTGAATGCATCCCTTGACCAGCCTCCAGATAAAGTCATCCGTGTTTGTTACTATATTCTGCTTAGTCTAGTAAAGACATTCAAGAGCATGATACTTACTAGCGGTGTATGAGTGACCTAAGACGTAGCCAGGTCTGACTATATGAGCATAAAGACCTCTTTTTCCGGCTTCCATGATAAGCTTTTCGGATACCCATTTTGATTGGCCATAACCAACTCGTAATCCTGTTCGTGCGCCTTCAAGATCGTCATCCTCTGGAACACCTGTTGGCTTAGATTCCGAAAGGCGGACATAGTATTCAGTGTCAATAGCGGATGTCGAAGAAACAAAGCTAAACAGTTTCGGCCGCTTGTTGCTAGCCAGTTCCATTGCGGTTAACGTCCCGAGAACGTTTGGACCGCGTAGTTTCGAGTATGGGTAAACCCAGTGGACCTACAAATGTTTAGTGATGCTCTAAATATATTCAAATCGCTCACCAAAGCACCATTGTGGACCACCGCGTCGACCGAATCGCAGAGGGAATCCCATATTTGTTCGTCCACACCAAAGTTTTTCTCGCTTAGGTCTCCCACGACAACTACAAGTTTACCTTCCTTAATCCAATTCTCCTGCCACACCCCGCGATCGCTAGACCCGGATCTTAGTCGCTCGAGGGCGTCCGACTCATTCTTGCCGCGGACAAGGCATATTACTTTGCAGACGGTGTCTAGTCCGAGGAGATGCGCGAGAATGAAACTTCCTAAGAAACCGGTTCCACCTGTAAGGAAGACGGTGAGTGGGGAACCAGGGGCCACTTGGGCAGGGGCCTCGTAGCTTTGCCGTAGACCCGAGGAAGCGAGGGCTTCGTAATCTGCAGCATAGTCCAACTCAGCTTTTCCAGTGCTTGGTGGTGGTGGTGCAGGCTGGTTCAAGGAAAGGTCGTCTTGTCGTAAGGCATCGATAGCTGCAGAAAGACCCTGTATGGTAGGCTGATCGAATACAAGGCTCAAGGGAGCATCGACAACAAAGGACTTTCTGATTTCGAATATCAGTCTAGTAGCAAGGATTGAATGGCCACCGAGATCAAAGAAACTTTCGTCTAATGGAATAGGGGAAGGCACATTGGAAAGCAGCCTTCCCCATATCTCGATAAGTGATTTCTGGGTTGGAGTCAAAGTATCCCCTCCTTTCTTGACCTGATCCCGTGGACCCGTCTGGACGGTATCTGGGAAAGGCAGCTTTGGCTTGTCGATCTTGCCATTTGGGTTGAGTGGCATCCTGCGCATGGGCACGAATACTGGAATAGTTATGAGTTACGGATAAGATAGAATATTTGGGGCTCACAGGATGGAACGCTATAAATTGGCAGCTTCTTTTTCAGGTACTCTCGGAGATCCTTGATAAGATGGCGGAACCTCTGAGGAGAACGCAAGTCTCCTCCATCTACATCTGTGGCACCTCCATCA